GAAATAAAGTGAAAGGAAAGAACATTCATTAAAATTTCAATGTTTCTTCAATTAATGGAACAGTAAGGTATATGATGTTGGAGCAACAAAAGAATCTAGGTTGTACATACCGATATGACAGAAGAATATTATCACATGAAAGTCTGAAATAATGGAATGAACAAATAGGGATTTTTTGACGCTATAATAATTCAGTAAAGCGTTTTTGCGAAAACGACAAGCGGAGTAGGCAAGCCAATGCTCATGACAATAGACAGACAGTGCACATATCTATTGTATTTTGAGTCGATAGTAGGATCATTCTCGAGAAGATAACAAATGGCGAGTAGACGAAAGAGCATGGAAATAAAAAAAACACCAAAACAGTTGTGTTGCAGTTGAAACTTGTAAACTTTCACAGTTCTGATACTAGTTATCTGATACTAGTTTTACGGAATGTAGTTCAATTGTACGACCTTCACATTTAAATACAATGACAACATAGTTTCTTTATACAGTGCATTTCTTTAATGTCCCCCCTTTTATTTTTTGAAAAGGTCAACTCAAAAAATTTAAATTTGGGATAATGAAAGTAATGCATGAATACTTTATTTTTAAGTGAAATTGACAGATGAAACTTCCAAGATGACGACTGGGTGCCATCTGGGAAAAAAAAGAAATGGAAAGGGAGTTCTTGTGACACATCATTTCAAAGCTCCTGACGAATATTTCACAACCTTCGAAAATGAAGTCAATATCTTCACCTACTACAAAATGGCGGAACATTCAATAATTTCCTGGAGACAAACACATTAATATGGATATTTCTAGAAATGTTCCTTTTTATCTGCCATATGGCAATTCCAGCAATTCGATAAGATTAGTTAAGTTATTTCTTTTATATAAAAACGACAAAAAATGTCAGTACGATAATGAACATCATTGTTCAGTTAGGTAGGCAAGGCAATGTACATTTTTTAAACGGAAATATTCACAGACGAAATTGCCGTTATTGGAGTAACAGCAACCCTCACGTTTTCCGGGAAAGACATACCCAATTTCCAGAAAAAATTAACGTTTGGGCAGGAATATTGGGAAACCATATTGTAGGACTTCTATTTATTGATCAAAATTTAACAGGGGAACTGTATTTGATTATGCTGGAAACTACTGTTGACTCTCTCATCACTGAAATCGTCGAAGCGAATCCTAATGAATTCAATATGAATATTGTATTCCAACAAGATGGAGCACCACCACATTACTCCAGACAAGTAAGACACTATTTGGATACTACTTTTACCGGTCGTTGGATTGGCCATCGAGGTCCTACAAAATGACCAGCCCACTCGCCGGATTTGACACCTTTGAACTTTTTATATGGAGCTTTTTCGCTATTTGAAGCAAAAATTGTACGAAACAGAACCTGCTTCAATATTGGATATACGGCAGAAACTAATAAATATTTGTAGAGATATTGACGTTACTGTATTCGAAAATGTTCGGCCTGAAATATCAGACTGTTCATATGTCAAGAAGTTCAAGGCAACCATTTCGAGCATCTTCTAAACTGACCTCAAGCTTATTACCTCATATTATGTAGTTATATGTCATGTATTCAGGCAATTATTGAAAGTTCCGCCATTTTGTAGTAGGTGGAGAAATTGATATTATATTCTAGGGTTGTGAAGCACAACCCTAGCTTCAAAAACATGTGTCACAAGACCCCTCTTTCCAATAACTTTTTTTTCAGATGGCGCCCAGTCGCCATCTTGAAAGTTTCATCTGTCAATTTCACTTCAAAATAAAGTATTCATGCATTAATTTGATAGTCCCAAATTTCAATTTTTTGAGTTGACGCGTTCTAAAAATAAAAGGGGGGAGAACATTAGAGACAAGCAATGTATACAATCGCTTTTACTCGTGATTTCGTCTGCGTGAACTTCAGATTATAACTTATTCCGTCTCGTATTCGCCCTCTTCGATTACAACTGACTCGCCCTAGCTTTCTACGGTGGAGTGAGATATGTCATAATTCGTAGAGTAATGGTTATTTTCGCGAGAAGAATACTATACTTTTTCTATATTCATAACAAGATTCAGTCATGAAACATATCTTTGATGAAGGAAATATAATTGAATTTCATGACAATAAGTAACCTCAATAGTCATTCAACAATATTTCCTATCTATGTTATTTTATTCATTATCAAATAGTTTGAAAAGTCTGTGCTTAAAAAAATAAGAAAATCCACCGTGGACGAGAATTGAACACAGGATAACGGCATACAAATGCAGGGCTCCAACAGTTACACTGAGGAAGCAGATTACAAATTGATATTATTTGAATTTCTAGTAACTTTCATTACTGGTGGGGTACAATCATTTACTTCTGTTTTTCGTTGAAAACTATTTAATTCAAAACAAAATGTCATTTCGAAGATGAGGTTTTGACCGCAAGACGCGATGTGATAAAGGATTACCAAAACTTCTAGATGTTCATCTAATAAAATCATTGAAAAAAAAACAATATACGATTGTTACAAAATCAATGAGATACCTACAACTGAAATCATAAGAAAGAAATTCAATACTTCCGGCCATAACGTGAGCTGCTGTGACAAAACTCTTCAGAATTGGATAAAGAAACTAGGATTTATATTTGAAATAATAAACAAACGTCAAGCAGTTATGGAAAGTAGAAGAATAGTGGAATTGCGTAACAAATACTTTGAACAAATAACTAAATATAGACAAGAACAACGGCAAATTTTCTATTTGGACGAAACTTGGTATGACACTCACGATACAGTTACGAAAAGGTGGACTGATGGTTCGAGAATGTGTAGGCCTAACATGCCTGCAAACAAAGGATCGCGACCAATCATTGTGCATTGCGGAGGAAGTAAAGGATGGGTTTCGAATTCTTTGAAATTATGTGGAAAAAAACTTGAGTATTGCAATGTTGACTATCATAAGAACATGGAAGCTGATATTTTTGAGGAATGGTTTGAAAACACATTGATCCCAAATTTGGATGTGATAGTTCTTGAAAACGCTTCCTATCATTCGTGACAGCTCATAAAAGTATCGAATAAAAACTCGAGGAAAGATGAAATACAATGTTTTTTAATGGATAACAATTTGATTTTGAAGATAAGTACACCACAAAAACCGACTACTTGAAGTTTTACAGCATCGTTTACTTGAACTATGGTAATTGGTACTAGTCGACTACGAAAGTGTAAGTTATGTATCTTTTCGCCTACTTACCCCACAGTTATTGCTAGTTAAGTGCATGTTCCGAGAACAATTTCTTGTTGGGTTTAGTCTTGAAAATGAACAATGAAATCTAAATGTTCACTACTGAAAATCATTTCATACCGCTCACTTCACATGGAACCTGGGCGGTGGTGCAGTTTTCAAAGGAAAATGAGACATAAGAAAATTCGCTGATTATATAGCTTTTTTAGGTGAAAGAATTTTCAAAACTAATTGAGCGGTTTTTTAAGAAACAAAATCAGGTTTTTAGAGTTCGGCACAGCCGTACCATCTGACCTGAAAGACCACTCACCATACAAATTAATCAGCTTCGTTAAGGAGCTGGGTTCATTTGGACGAGTGTGAATAGGTAGGAACCACAATAAATCCTTGCGGGTTGCGGTGGAGGGTTGAATAGACCCACTCACGTTAGACCTAACCTAAGCTAACCTTAACATTTTCGCTTGAAATACTAAGTCTCCAACTATATAAACCTGGTGGTGTTTTTGATCCATGTGAACCAACAACTACTTACTCTCAATACACACAAGTACTTCGACTTGTGTAAATCTTTTTCCAAGTAAGGACTCAAAGAGACTTTTTTATCGAGACTATAACCTCCGCTGCAAATGGAATATACTAACAATTGAGGAATAGTGGACTAGAATTATCCAGGTACCTCTTCCTGGTGAGGAAAACTATTATAGTTCTGCTGGGGTTTACATAAATCTACTTCTCCTGAAAACAACTGTGAACGACGCCCAGCATAGTATGAAAAAAATTGCAGGATACCTTTCATGGCGTGGTCTTTGCCAGAACGACAAGGTCATCTACATAAGCCTGCAGATCGACTTCTCTTCTGTCGGAATCAATCTACCACTTTCATTTGTAACTAACGTTACTGCAGTTACGTCCTATAAGGACATAAACTAATACAATAAACTGCAGCAGTAGTGACAACAGAAGGGGGATATCATCTTACCCTGCTGACCCTGATTTTGATGGCCTAATCTCAGGAAGTCGTAGTTACTGTTTTGTTTACCATGCAGCTTATTCCTCATAGACAACAACTTTCTCAATTCAGATAACTTTGCATTATATGAATATAATTCTTTTTTGAGTTAGGATGGAATGTATTTATCTTGGTGTTTTGTAAAGAATATCAAACTGAATTGAATAATGAAGAAGAGAGAATTGAAACTTCATTCGCCATTATTGAATCTTCATTTCCAGGTAAAAATAGTTAGGTACTTTCGAAAAAATTTATTGAAACAGTTAATGAAGTCATACCTGACCCCTTCAGGTAGATTCATTCATTAGAAATCAGGCATACGAGTATGTGATAGGTTAGAGCATAAAATGGTTGTAATTTAGAAGTAACTTTTAGTTTATGCTTGAGCGAAACACGTGTCGCGGTTTTTGTTAAATCATTTATAGTGAAAGTCATACAATAAATTATATTAATTAGTTTCAATATGGATTTTCATCGAATATCGGTCAGTTCTATTCAATTATTTTAAAATAATTGGATTTTTTTTCGTTTTGTTTCAAAATCTTTTTTGCATTCTTCAGGTGTATTGAGTGTGAACGTTTTTATAGAATCTATTTTAAAATCTCATATGTATTATCATTAGGAATACGACATTGAACATTTTTCCACACCATTTTTCTAACTTTCTTCAAGAAAGTAACCCAACATTCACTTTCAACATTTAGATTGTCGTTGTCATCTGAACTTATATAATTCAAACATAACTCACCATTTTTCAGCTTGCAGTTGGAGACTAGGTCGTTCATCATTTCCTTGTTTTTCTGAAAACACCACATTTTTAGAGTATATGAGATAAACCGAGCACAAACTGACAACAAATTAGGATTGAAAGCACGTTTTCTCGAGATAACAACACAACTTTGAATTGTTGATAAAGACTTAAGAATACAAGAGGCATGATGTATTTTCACTAGTAAGGGTTTAAACTGATTTTTGCATTATATTGTTTACCCCGGGCTATATCTTTTGTGATACTGATATTCATTCACATAAATATAAATTTAACAATTAATCACAGATCTTATCACCAGACAGATACCGCATTGTAATGAATTAGTTTTCCTCTCAAGTACATGATGTTCACATTGGGATTATTGTTATCTAAGAAACAGCGTGCTTGTATCTTCTCTAGATAATAGATGCCAAACTGTTTTGTTATGCCAATTTTTTTACAACGTGATAAACACATATGGTCAGACCTTCCTGTGAAGTGAAAAGCTAAGTTGATGAATATAAATGGTTACATAGGAAGTTAGTGTTTCTTCATTATAACTTTATTGAATCATGAAGAATAACCTCTGCCATGTCTGAATATCTCAGATAAAAACCTTCTTTCAACGACGTCACTTTTTCCTTGGCTGTACAAGTAAAGCTTGGCAAATATAGCTATGCTTCTGAATATTGGATGCGTGGTAGATCAGCCGGTGGAGTGGGGCGAGAACTTATGAACATCGAGGATCTCGTGTAGTAAAACATCGTGTCAGTACAGTCAGTGAAGAAATTATTTTCTGTGATGAACTGTGAGTTATTCCTTGTCTATCAAACAGTGTTCTGAAAAATAAGATTTACAGAGGATGAAGCAAAAAAACTGTGGACAACGTATTGAGATTTATGTGAGCAGAAGCAACAACAGATGGAATATAAATTCCTCTTGCGGAAGTGAAGTTATAGTAATGATGAGTGAAATTTTAACCAATATTGTATTTTACCTTCGAAGGTTCAAGAAAGAGTAGCTGTGGCTAAAGGAGTTTGCGTGCGAACTGTACGAAAAATAAAACCAGAGATGAAAATACTGAAAATGATGAGAAAAACAAATTTTCAAATCCAGTGATGCTGATTTAGCAGTTTTACGTAGGTGCATAATCAATTTCTATATCAAAGAGAGCAAATTTATAAACTGGGATTTCGATGAAGAAAGATGGAAAATAACACAAGTTCAGGTGATTGGAGGCCTCCTACACTTCAGCGTAGTCTCCGTTACTTCAATACAGGGTGGTAAAAAATGTAAAAAATACAGTTTCTTCGTTTGCTTGAAAAAGTGACTGGAAGTTGATTATTTCAAATAGAACACCTTGTATTAGATTAGCAGCTGAACATGTAGAAAGTTCAACGAAAGGTATCCGAATCTACCGCTAATGAACCCCAAGAAAACAATTTCAATATATTTGGGTGAATTAAAAAAATACGAAAAAAATTGGAAGTGGAAATATTGATATGAATAATTATGAAAACGTAAAACAATCATGTGGAATATTTCAAAATATGTTCGAATCGCTAGCCGTTTACTTCCAAGCACTTCAAAAAGCGGGTGTTGACTGCTGTCGTCGTGGCAGATATGATTTCATTTGGATACAAATCTTCAAATCTTTGGATAATCCTTTCTTACAATTCATTTCTTGAACATACGGGCATTTTCTAAACTTTTTTTTCAAACATTTGTCACAGATGAATATAGATGCTCCCTTCAATCGCACTATGAGGATGGATTCATTACTATTCACAATTGTGATGATATGGATATAGTAGCGGAGCAATTTTGCGAAGCAGTGATTTCATCCTATCATGAAAACTGTCCACTGAGAATTAAAAGAGATGACCATAACTCTTCTTGGTGGAACAAAAGCCTTGAAAACCTAAGAAAAGGATTTGGACGATTACTCAATCGACCTGAAGAGTCAGATATCTGGGAGCTTTATAAAACAACTCTAACGACATACAACAAGGAAATTAGAAAAGCAAAACGGAAATTTTGGAAGAAGTTCTGTGAGAGTATCTCTGGTGTACCTCGCAGCACAAGAATTCACAAGATTCTCTCTAGAGAGCTGACTGTTGTAATTGGGTTGCTGAAACGACCCGATGAAAAATTTACTACCTCTAGATGAAAAACTTTAGAACTTTTGATAGAAAACTACTTTTTTGGAAGTCAGACTTATGATAACAGCAGACCCTCCTCTTTGATGACGCCAAATGCCTAAAAAAGGGCGATTGAGAGGTCGTCAGGAAGGTTATCACTGCATCGGCAGTTGAATTGGCTATCAAGTCATTTCAGCCCTTCAAATCTTCTGGAGAGGATGATATATTTCTAGCTCTTTTCCAAAAGGGATTGGAAATGTTATTATCCATTCTTATGAAATTGTATAGAGCTAATCTGGCGTGGAACTCCGTATCACCCGGTTAGTTGGCAGCAGTATTTATTCCTGAAGTGGGTTGGAAAAACCCACACCCCAAATCGGGACGACCAATCAGTCGTACATCCTTCCTATTGAAAGGACTTGAGAGGATACTGCATGGATACATCTGAATAACCACCAGTATACATATTAAACCGGTAAATCTACAGATTCAGCATTAAACAACCTTGTCAACAAGGAGATTGCGGTTGCTGTATTTCTCGACACTGAAGGAGCATTTGACAATTCACTACCTATATGTAGATCAGCCCTGGCTGGAAAAGGCATAGAATCTACCATAAATGGATGGATCTATGCCATGCTGGTGAACGTAACTGCAACTACGAATTCTTAAGACGAGGCCATTAAGTTCAGGGTCAACAGGGGCTACCCCCAAAGTGGGGCACTATCTCCCCCTTTGTGGTCGGTCCTGTTGGATAGTCTGCTTGATGCCGTCGATAGAAGAGAAATAGATCTGCAAGCTCATGCAGATGACCTTGTCATTTTGGCAAGGTATACGTCGGGAAGGGTGGCGTGTAATATCTTCCAAAGTACGATGGACGTGGGCCATAGTTGGTGCCAGAGGTAACAGATGTCTGTTAATCCCAGCAGAACTCTCTGTTGAAGGTCTTGAGACTTCATTGCTTGACTTTTCGTAAATTTATAATCATGCATTTCTCTGCAAGATTCTTCGAATCGATGAATATTTTATACCCAAATCTTCTTCAGCACTTCTTATCGGTGACTCAGGAAATTCTTGAAAATATGCTAAAAAATTAATTTGGTTATCTTCAGAATTTACGGTTCTGTTATGTTCTGAACTCGTATGAATTTCTTGAGATTCATTAGTGGTTTATTCAGATACCATACGTTGAACTTTCTACATGTTCTGCTGATCATTTTATCAAACTGTCCAAAAATAATAAACGAATTCATCAGAAACTTCGTTTGGATCCATTTATCACTAATGAGAATGTACCTGACTATTATTTGCAATTATATATCACTCATTATTATTTTCCTCCTACACAAAAGTAAGAATTGGGATTCCCGTTCCCTACCGGTTTAGTTGTCAAACTTACCGTATTTATTTATGCCAAAATTCTTTTTTCGATTGTACTTGATAAAAGTTGGTAGTGGAGAGTTACTATCTCTCTTTATCGTTCGCGCAACTTAGAGGCAAAGCTAGAATTACCAAGCTGTACTATTGTTGTTGATTATTCAATTGTCCATGGACATTATTATGAATTTTTCATGAAGGTCATTGTTTTTGAAATCCGACATTTAGTTAGAAATATAGGTACATATAGTGTGTGTCACATAGAGTATTCATTAGAAGTTTGAAATGACGGTTAGTTATAAAAAAACAAATTTGAAGATTTTGTTTTATTAAATCTGATACTGGTTGAATTGAAACTCAATAACAATTCATTTTGGTTTTTTCAAATGAAGTACTAGATTTTATATTCAAGATGTTACAATAATTGAATAATCTTTCAAAAAAAATGGTTGTATGAGAACTGATATTAACTGGAAATTATTTGATAATATCAGCTCTCATACATCTAAAAACTACTGTGAGTAATAACAGAGGTACTCAACCCAATTGAGTACCTGACTTTTGTTTACCTATGACAATGTGGGTATGATAATTTAAAAACAGGTGAGTAAACTGAATCGATTTATACCCAATCTAAGCGATAGGTCCTGAAATTTTGCACTAGGCAAGCAAGGGTTGGAAACTCAAGTATTTGAAATCCCTAAAAATTCATACCGGTTTTTGAATTAGCGTACCCACATTCTCACAGGTGAACAAAATTCAGATATTTCAGGTATCTACTCGGTTAAGTTGAGTACTTCTGACTTCATGCCTCCAACTGTCAACTGCGAACTGCCTTATAAAGTACCGTTCCCGAGTAGAGAGAACTGGATCCTCCGGGAGAAGGAAGTGTTAAGAGCAGATAGTTGTTGGTTCACAGATGGATCAAACAATTTCCGCTGTTAGCGCTGTTAACCAGATAGAAAGGAACTTATTTAGTATTTTTGAAAAATCTGTCCCGCATAAAATATTCAATTCGCGTAGGTACTCACCATGGTTTACAAATTATACGATAAAGAAAATAAAATGCAAAGAATGTGCTCGTAAAAACTACAGAAAATATAAAACAAGTTTTTATCTATCTCAATTTCATTATTTCAGATCCGAGGTCAAAAAAAGTGTACACAAAGACTATCGTAAATTTATTTCAGAGGCTGAAAATAATATAAGTAACGATCCGAATCAGTTTTGGAATTTTATACGTAACAGAAAGGGAACCAGCAGAATTCCTGGCATAATGAAGGATGGTGACTGTATACTAACAGATATGCAAGATGTTGTGACCGCTTTTGGGAAATATTTCTCCAGTGTATATAGTTTGCCTGATTCTGATTCAGCCGATAGTTTACTGGAAAAATATGCCAATTTACCCACCATCAGTTTCAATAGCATTAAAGAAAGTCATGTTATTCAGTCATTCAAACAGCTCAAGAGTAAATTGATCATGGGTCCAAATCAAATACCGAGTTTCCTAGTTAAGGATTGTATTATC